AATACAACAGCATGTCACTGGGACAGCACCCTTAAAACACACACACACACACACACACACACACACACACACTCACACACACACACACACACACACACACACACACACACACACACACACACACACACACACACACACCTTAACTGGATGAGGATCTTCTCAAGGTGAGGGAACATCTGTGTGTGTGTGTGTGTGTGTTTATCTCCCTGCATTGTCAGCATGATTTTGAAAGTGGGCGGGGCTGTATGCAAATCGTGTCACAGCTGTAGGACACCTGGGATGGAGGGGGAGGAGCTCATTCATTATGGATGAAGCTGCTGCTGCTCTTTTTTTAGCTTCACTAACCTACATACATGAGAACACACACACACACACACACACACACACACAAACACACACACGTCACACATCAGCTGTGACGTCACTTCCTCCCACTGACCTCTCCAGATCCTCAGTGTCATGAATGAGCGTCTGACCTCTGACCTTTGTGTCAATGAGGTGAGACTTTTACTGAAATCAAATGTTGAGCGTTACATGAACATATACACAAATGTGACCCTGGAGCACAAAAGCAGTGTTAAGTCGCTGGGGTATATTTGTAGCAATAGCCAACAATACATTGTATGGGTCACAATTATTGATTTTTAGATTTTTTTGCACCCTCAGATTCCAGATTTTCAAATAGTTGTATCTCGGCCAAATATTGTCCGATCCTAACAAACCATACATCAATGGAAAGATTATTTATTCATATTTCAGATGATGTATAAATCTCAATTTAAAAAAATTGACCTTTATGACTGATTTCGTGCTCCAGGGTCACGTATATACATGGCTATATTCATGCATTTCCGATGAGAGCATTAATGCTTTTGAATAGGAACAGTAATATAACTGATCCTGTAAATGTGTTAATTAAGCTCAGTAATTAAGCATAGAGTCGTTAGGCCGCGTCCTCTCATGTTCAATGACGGAATCACTCATTCTGAAGTGCTGCTGTTAACAGGATTCAATGCCGCCGCACTGGAAATCATTTCCTCGGAGACAGAAAATCCATCTGACCTTCAGCTCGGGCTGAACTGAGCACTTAAGAGGAGCGCGGCGTCCTCCAGAGCAGCTGATCCCGAGATCTCTGAGACAAACACACAATCTGATCAATCTGAGCTTCCTAAACCACCGTTTGATCAGCTAATAATAATGTACATTTAAAATAATTCTAAAACAGAAACAATAAAAAATTTAATATTTCTTTGTTTACAGTATGTGCATGACCCTTAACTGAAATAAGAGAAGCGTGAACATGTGTGAATGTGTTGATAAATTATCAAAATATTAGCTTGAAATCTCAGGGCAACTTCAAAAAAAATGTTTTTTAAATAAAGTCGTTTAACAAATTTAGGTACATTGTGAGAACATTATTTTAAAATGTCCAGTTTTTTTGTTCTGATAAAATGTTATTTAAAGGTTACAAAAATGTTTACTTTTGTATATATTTTCTCCCAAAATATAACATAATTAGAATGTTTATTTTAATATTCTGAGAACTTTAAAATGCCCAGTTTACTTGTTGTGATTATAAAGTTATTTAAAGGTTACAAAAGTGTTTCTTAATTATTCTCATAATTTTATTTTCACCCAAAATATAACATTAATTGAAGTTATTTTTTAATATTCTAAGAACATTTAAATGTTCAGTTTTCTTGTTGTGATTAGAAGGCTATTTAAAGTACAAACAACATCAAAAGCATGTTCAGGAAATGTTGATCTAAGAATATTTTCTCTCATCTTTGAGAATGGTAAATTTCAGTTATAAGTGCGTTGCATAAACATTACTTTAAGAATGTTATTTAACAGTTATATAACTTTTAAAACGTTGCCTGTTAGCTGGGACAGACTGATAAAACGTTTGAGAACGGCTGGTCTCTGGCAGCAGAGATGAAGCATTCTGGGATAAAACACAGCGGACTCAAAGCGAGCTTTCTTCAGGAGACGAGGTCACGACCTTCAGCAGAAAACTCCCAACAAACTCTGCTGCCTGTCACAGATGATCTGCCTTCTGACACACGACTGAGCTCAGAAACACGTTCGCACAGGCTCACAGGGTCTCGCTTTGTTGTGGTTGGAACTCATGCTTCTCAAGCAGCTTCACACTCTTTATGCCCGAGAGTTTTACAAGCCGAGGCAAAGTAGAGCATCTCGTTCTGATCCCGGTGCCAGCCGCTTTATCCCCGCTTACATCCCTCCATCGCCACGGTCCAGGGATTTACTCCACGCCGGAGGTCTGAACATCACATGGTCTGGAAAACTGCTCATTTCAGATGTAAACATGTCTGAATACTTTCACTCGTTCATTTACAGGCCGTTAAACTGAGTCTGGTGCTGATCTTCATCATTACTGTACGGTTGAGTTACAGTCAGAGTCTCATGAAAGTGTGTGATGAACTACTGACACCATCAACACTTTCACTCTTTGACGAGACCCGTAACAGATCTCCGCACACTTACACAGTTGATTGATTACCTTAATTGCAATATATTTTTTTGAAAGTGTATCAAATATTGCTGTAGCTCAAATATTAGATTGTGGTGCAAGCAATGGCAAGGTCATTGGTTCGATTCCCAGGGAATGCATTTACTGATGAACTTGAATGCAATGTGAGGCGCTTTGGATAAAAGCATCAGCCAAATGCATATATGTGTCCCTGCAGCACAAAAGCAGTGTTGAGTCGCTGGGGGATATTTGTAGCAATAGCCAACAATACATTGTATGGGTCACAATTATACATTTCTCTTTTATGCCAAAAATCATTAGGATATTAAGTAAAGATCATGTTCCATGAAGATATTTAGTAAATGTCCTACCTTAAATATGTAAAAACTTAATGTTTGATTAGTAATATGCATTGCTAAGAACTTCATTTGGACAACTTTAAAGATGATTTTCTCAATATTTAGATTTTTTTGCACCCTCAGATTCCAGATTTTCAAATAGTTGCATCTCAGCCAAATATTGTCCTCTCCTAACACACCATACATCAATGGAAAGATTATTTATTCAGCGTTCATTCAGCTTCAGTTTAGAAAAATATGTTTTTTTGTGGTCCAGTATCAATGCAGATGTAGATTTTGCAATAATTTGCATACATTACCAGCACATAAATATCTGAAGATTGGATAAAGCCAGGTTCAAAACATTTTGATTTTGTTGACAGTTAAAGGTTTTTCCAAAGGGGATTCTCAAAAGACAGAAAACAAATACATTTTCACCATGTTTTTAGGAGTGAGATGTTGTATAAATCAGTGTGAATGAAATATGAACAAACCTTCAGAATATAGAGAGGAATAAAACTGTAAAGTTTGTTGTTTGTAAGAGAAAAAACTCTTTAAAAGATATGGACTGGATATTGAAATCTACAGACGCAAATAGATAAAGTGCAATAAAATCAACACTTTTGGATGTTTTCTGTCCAAACAAACACTTTATGAAAAGCCATAAACAGCAAATCTAAAAATTGACCAGTGCATAAAACACAATGTTTTGCCTGTGGAACATGTATCTAAAATCTGACTTTTATTGCAATGAAAATATGAACAGGGATTGCAGTGAAACATCTCGAGAGTGAAATGTCACAGGTTATGAACGTGATTTATTACGAGACTCATCCTCTCATCAGACAGCGCTTGTAGGGTTCAAAAGGAATGTGATTTATTCAGGATCTTCTGTGAGGTTTGACTCCAGGTTTAGTTATCCGCTCGCAGCTGACGTCAATTAAACGGCTGCTTTATTCAACTACATGAGTGAAATGAGTCTGACAACGGCAGATTACAACATTAGCAGATATCAGATGCTGGCGGTTCAGGATTTCTGACTGTGAATCAGCAAGCGCATCGCAAACGTAAAGAATCGAGTTTGAGGTTCTGGAGGTCAAAGCCAATGTGTGGATCTCAGCTGATTCGGTCTCTGTTTACAGAACACAAAGCGGGTAGTTAGTAACCAAGAGCAGTGAAGACAAGAGCCTTGAGCAAACAGCATGTTGAGACAAAGGCACAGAGACATTCTGTCATCACGTCTGAAGACGGGTGTCTGGAAGGGCCACTCGGGGCTCCAGAGCGATTCTTATCGCCGTGTTTATTCACGGTTAGAGATGCCAAACAATCGAGTCTTTGCTGCGGAGGTGCCAAACCCTCATGTGACGACGCTTACCATCTCACGTTTCACAAAAAACACAAGCTCTGTGACAAGAATCTGAAATGTTTTTATTACTTTTTTCCATTTATTAAAGAGGATTTCTTTACAACATACATTTAGCTGTGAATCAGATGTGGGAGAGGGCCGGTGACAAAACCATATCATACAAGAGTACAAACTCCACTTCCAAAGTCTAGAGGCGTCTAGAAAGGCACCAGCACAAGAACCTCGAGCTCCGTTCGCTCCGAGAGCTGGGTGAATTCAATATCTTCAATGCCAAAACTAGAATCCTGGACGTCAAGTTCAATAAAACGTGTGTCAAAATAGTTAAATAACAATCCCTCATTTTACATCACAACCACAGAGCTAGAAAATTATATTAATCGGAATCTGTCACAAACATTGAAAACATGAATCTGTTTCCTAATATTATTGGAGTGCATATCTACACAGGAGCCAGCCTGCATTCACTGCCTAAAAACTGTTTGATCATGTACATTAGAAAGCTTGTGTGTGTGTGTGTTTGGGAGAAACGTCATATCTGGTTCGTTCCTGTGTTTTTCTCTTATTGCCTCGAAGCAGCCCGATCCACAGATACACAAGTCATCTACAAACAGTGTAAAACATCATCTTGACTTTGTGAAAAGTAAAAAAGGACAAAGGAAAACAAAATCAAACATTCTTCCAGCACGACTCCGACGGTTCATTGGCACAATCAGAAATCAAGCACAAAGTCATGTGTGGTTAGCAACGGGAGCAGAGTCGACAACACCTACATTCTTCAATTACGTGTTTTTTTGTTTCTTTTTTATAATCAAACGAGGGAAACAAACGTCATCATAAGAACTACGACAGTTAACAGCTAACAAATGCTTCACTACTCAGGGGTGTAAGGCACACATTTACAGGTGGAAGGAGAAAAACAGGCTTGTTTGGACATGAACGAGAGGAAACCGTACGTCTGAAAGCATCTCAAGTGCGGCGAGAATGGCACTCGGATGGACTTTCAACAGAAAGTCACGAAGATGAGATTGAGGAGCTCCTGTCAACCTGTGGGCTGTAAGCTCTACCCACAAGCCCCTCTGGCACGGCTCGAGAAATATTCCTTCCGTACGGAGGCTTCCAGAGTCGTCTCTGATTTTGCTTAGCAAGAGATAGTGGACAGAAGTACTGGCTCCAGTTTAATGACTTTAAATAGATTAATTCAAACTAAAACGATCATTCCCATCTCAGTCAAGCCTAAATGAGACGCTCTCTCTGCAAAAGCACTTTATTAAAAAATAAATACAACCCGCGATTAGTATTAACAGTCACGTGTTATTCAGTCGACGTTTTCAGTAGATGTGTTGAACTCTTGCGCGAAGGCAGAACTCGATTGCTTTGTCCAGGCGGTGGCTTTTCACAGTTTTCCATGGTAAACTCCAGCTTCTATTCCCATCTGTGCGTCCAAGATATCTGTGGCGTCTCTCGTAGCTTCCGCGCCCGTCTCCGGTGTGCTTTTGGCAACAATGCGGCCACCTTCCCAGCTGGAGTTCCTCCTTTTTTTGGGAACAGAGACACGCATCAGCCTGAGCTCGACATGTATTACAAAATGTACAAAACAAAATAAAGAAAAGTGAGTTGCATTTCCTGTACACAGCTGTACAAAGCAGACACACTTTCACGTTCCCCGTCTTTCATCCTGCTGCGCTCGATTATGTGCAGGAGTCTCCGGACTTGGCTTTTGTGGAAAGGGACACCAGATTCGGTTTAGGAGGAACGTCAGGTTTGAGATGCCTGGGGAGAGAGCCGTATGAGCTCAGGCTGGGATGGCGCGACAGACCGAGGATCGGCGGCGGAGAGGTGACGTGCATGGAGTCCACTCGCTGCGGAGCGGGCGGAGGAGGTGTCTCCACACGGAAACTGTGGTTCCTGGACATGTGGGATGAGTTGGACGAGTTGGTGTTGTGCTGTTTCTTGAGGCCCGAGCTCATGGGATAGCCACGGCCGTATACGGACGAATGCACGTCCAACCTCTTGCCCATTTGAGGAACCATGGTTCCCAGAGACGCCTCTCGCTGGGGGACTCTTGGAGGCGCTCTCTCGCCATCCGCCAAGCTTGGGCTCTTGAGGGACTTGTACTCCAGTGTGGCGGCCTGGTCAGTGGCGAGCTCTCCGCGGTGCGGTTGCTCTACATACTCATGCTGGTGTTGGGGCAAAGGCAGCACTACCACGCTGGGGATGTGGCCCGGAGACGCCCGCAAAGGCAAATCCGTCGGGATGACCACAGAGCCCATGGAGGGCAAGTCTTTGGTGTAGGCGTTGATCAGGTTCTGGTTGCGCTCCCACTCGCGGCTGCCTCGGCTGGGTTTGCGCCGCGGCTGCATAGGCGTGGATTCGGGCGTGGGCAGAGCGGTCAGATCCAAGTGCTCGTCAGCTTTGATGAGCATCTTTCCGTTGGCCAAGCGGCCGTTGTGCATGAGTGGGGTCAGAATGGCTTCTGTCCGTCCGTCCTTGGCTTGCGTCTCGAAGAGCCCCGTCAGCTTGGTGACGCTGTTCATGGAGCCCCGTCGGGACTGAACCGAGTCCTTATCTTTGCGGCCGGGCAGCTCGAAGTCCCGCCGGCGGTGATGGTCGCACACGCAGTAGACCACGATGCCGGAGAAGATGGCACCCATGATGAAGGCGAGGATGATGGCGATGGCCAGGAGCGTGACGGGAACCATCTGATCGCGATCTCGGTGGAACGTCTCACGGATCACCCCTGCAAACAGAGTTTCGCAATGTGTTATTAAACGACACAATTCCCAAAATTCATCTAGAATGCAAAACTAGGGCCGTTCACACAGAATGCATTTTCCCATTTCATTGCACTGCTTTTCCGTCGTTTTATCGATGCAAACACGCACTAGATGGATACGTTTGACCTTTGCATTCACGGGCCATTTTTACGGCACACATCTTTGCCAGGATTTCTATATTGCCTAAAATATCCAGGTTTTGGCTGTTTGCGCTGTGCAGATCGATCGCTGTATGACATCTGCGAGAGCTATAGAGAGCAGATGGCTCGTTATACCTTCGAATCACGCTCGCTGTACTTTGATGTCATACAACAATCGGTCTGCGCAGCGGCGCTTCAAGTCGAACGAACACACCTAATGTGCACATATTTGCATCGCTTTGACCGTTCTCTGTAGATCCCGCCTTCTCATGTGCCACGATTGGTCGATTATGTACAATACCTGCACGTTATTGGTCGATCATTACCTTTAGCAAGTATGAAAACAGAGCCAAATGAAGAGTTCAGATGCAAAAGCCTCTAAGTGCCATCTGAAATTTTCTTCTAAAATGAGCATTTGTCTCGGGCTCCAATGTTTATTTTGAGTTATTTCACTTTAATGGCAATGAAAATAACTTATTCACTGGCATTAAAGTGAAATGACTGAACTTACACATATAGGAGCCTGATAAAAATGCTCATTTTGGAAGAATATTTCAAACGGAACTTAGAGGCTTTTGCATCTGAACTCCTCAAATACAGAAATCCTCGCCAGGACACGTCCCGTAAAAATGGCACGCATGGCCACCCTACGTTTGCCGTCTTCTGCAGCATCTTGTGCATGAAACGGCATTCTAAAAACATGCCGCTCAAGTTAAAATAAGTTCAACTGTTTTAAAAACGTGTCTTGAGACCTTGCATTTCCCCCCATTCCACTAATTTTTCAAAGCAAAAACATGTTCTGTGTAAATCGTCCCTTAAGCAGCAATGCGCACGTCGATGCATGCTTAAAACCAGGACTGCTGGATTAATCTGCAATACAGATTCAGATAAAACTACCATCTTGATATCTAAAGGAGACAAATACTGTGCATTCATTTACACTCATGGATGAAACTGCGAGGTGTCCTGTGAGATCGCTGCACTATTGTATTGAGAAATGCTAAATAATGTTAGCACATCAGCGCAGATGTCTTAATCTATTCAATAGCTGAGGAATTAGGTTACATTCCCATTCCCATCCAAACACCACAAGCCACAAAATTCTCAGCAGATCAGCCATTTAAAATACACTCAGGTGCTGCTATATTTCCACAGAGGCAAATAAATCCAATGTTTTACAATTGTTGCAAACTCATAAAGCTAATCCATTAGATGAGGCAGGAGTGTTGTTCAGTGGGGAGCCCAGACACATTAACACACACAGTCATACAACAATCGGTCTGCGCAGCGGCGCTTCAAGTCGAACGAACACACCTAATGTGCACATATTTGCATCGCTTTGACCGTTCTCTGTAGATCCCGCCTTCTCATGTGCCACGATTGGTCGATTATGTACAATACCTGCACGTTATTGGTCGATCATTACCTTTAGCAAGTATGAAAACAGAGCCAAATGAAGAGTTCAGATGCAAAAGCCTCTAAGTGCCATCTGAAATTTTCTTCTAAAATGAGCATTTGTCTCGGGCTCCAATGTTTATTTTGAGTTATTTCACTTTAATGGCAATGAAAATAACTTATTCACTGGCATTAAAGTGAAATGACTGAACTTACACATATAGGAGCCTGATAAAAATGCTCATTTTGGAAGAATATTTCAAACGGAACTTAGAGGCTTTTGCATCTGAACTCCTCAAATACAGAAATCCTCGCCAGGACACGTCCCGTAAAAATGGCACGCATGGCCACCCTACGTTTGCCGTCTTCTGCAGCATCTTGTGCATGAAACGGCATTCTAAAAACATGCCGCTCAAGTTAAAATAAGTTCAACTGTTTTAAAAACGTGTCTTGAGACCTTGCATTTCCCCCCATTCCACTAATTTTTCAAAGCAAAAACATGTTCTGTGTAAATCGTCCCTTAAGCAGCAATGCGCACGTCGATGCATGCTTAAAACCAGGACTGCTGGATTAATCTGCAATACAGATTCAGATAAAACTACCATCTTGATATCTAAAGGAGACAAATACTGTGCATTCATTTACACTCATGGATGAAACTGCGAGGTGTCCTGTGAGATCGCTGCACTATTGTATTGAGAAATGCTAAATAATGTTAGCACATCAGCGCAGATGTCTTAATCTATTCAATAGCTGAGGAATTAGGTTACATTCCCATTCCCATCCAAACACCACAAGCCACAAAATTCTCAGCAGATCAGCCATTTAAAATACACTCAGGTGCTGCTATATTTCCACAGAGGCAAATAAATCCAATGTTTTACAATTGTTGCAAACTCATAAAGCTAATCCATTAGATGAGGCAGGAGTGTTGTTCAGTGGGGAGCCCAGACACATTAACACACACACACACACACACACACACACACACACACACACACTCACAGACAGACCACACGGTTAGCGTGGGTCCAGATTTTAGAGATGTCTCATGCACTCGGAGTCTCGTATCGTTTTGAATATTCGTGGCTCTTATGTGGGCTTTGGAAAACGCTCCGGATCTTCTGAAGGAGTCTCTCTCTAAGATGACAAAACGGCGTCACGCATCTGATCTGAGGGGGCGCTTCTATCTTTTTAACTTCACTCTCATTGTTCCTCTCTGGAGACAGTCTGTTTGATGTTTCATGTGTCTACTGTACGATACCCTTGAGAAATGACACGGCTCTACCGGATTCGTTTTCAAGTTGGAAAGACTCTTCTTTTTCGTGAAAAGTACCACAATATATTCAGTTTATAGAGCTGTTAGCACAACCAATTTATACGTGACCCTGGAGCACAAAACCAGTCATAAGGGTCAATTTTCTGAAATTGAGATTTATACTGAATAAATATATGAATAAATAAGCTTTCCATTGATGTATGGTTTGTTAGGATAGGACAATATTTGAAAATCTGGAATCTGAGGGTGCAAAAAAATCTAAATATTGAGAAAATCATCTTTAAAGTTGTCCAAATGAAGTTCTTAGCAATGCATATTACTAGTCAAACATTAAGTTTTGATATATTTACGGTAGGACATTTACAAAATATCTTCATGGAACATGATCTTTACTTAATATCCTAATGATTTTTGTCATAAAAGAGAAATGTATAATTGTGACCCATACAATGTATTGTTGGCTATTGCTACAAATATCCCCCAGCGACTTAACACTGCTTTTGTGCTGCAGGGAGACATTTGGTTTATTTATGAAGCACATCTAGAGACACGTGACGTGATTGTCAGAGCTGGACTCGTTTGGCACAGATGAAGACTCTTCTACATCTCCCGAAGGTTAAAAGCTCTTCGAACTGAGGATGAGGAGGGCACCGCCAGCACTCAGAAAACCTTTGAAGATCCTTTCTATCCTTAATGCACTGTTACTCAACTTCAAAGAGCCATAAAAAGGACAAAACCTGGAGAAACAGAGGGCTGCAGACGGACCCTTTCCACAAACAGTTTCAGGGTTCAGTTTATTCTCATGCTGACATACACTGGATTTGGACACTTGAAAATGTCTGAAATATTGCCATTAACTGACATGACACAGGATATTATTCAGCATTATCATTAGTATGATTAAAATGGCAATTATTACAGTGACTAAACACTAATCAATAGCGTGGATGAACTGTTCTCTGAACGTCCTCATGATCAATGTTGCCAAGTCCGTGGTTTTCCCGCAGAATTGGGATACTTTTATACAGCTGCCATGGGTTGTGTTTCTAGTTCGTGGGTTAAAGCAAAAAGAACGTGATTTCGACTGAGGTGGAACCCATTTTCCCCCAAAACGCAACTGGACTAGTTTTGTCTGTGATTGGGCTGGTTTTGTTATGTAGACCTGGCAACCCTGCTCATGCTATTTGTACTTGATGAACGTTCTAAAAATGATTTTGTAACCTTTAAATAACTAATCACAATGTTCCCACAACGTTTGTATGACCTAAAGTTGTTAGCTGGATGTCTGGAGTCTTGATTGATTGACGAACGCTCCACTATCAGTGCCACACACAGTTTGACACAAAAGATATTTATTAGAATCTTTTGACAGTGCTAATGTATTCTTATGTTGTTATTTCTGTTTTATAACACTTAAAACTGCTCACGAGTGTTAGAGAAAATATCACAGCAAAATATCAAAGTTAACTGCTAAATGAATAATGTTGAAGCTGAAGACGGTCAGTTTTCTTAACGTTCCCCTAACATTCTGTGTTTGCTGGGTGTTGGGATTTGGTTACAGATTACAAGTTACCCTATTTAAAATCTAATAAGTAGTGTAACTATTTCAATTACTTAAAGTAATGTAACTGATTACATTTGATTACATTTCTAAAGAATGTTTTCAACTGATAATCATTTTGAAACATGTAAAGCACGCAGGTTAACCTCAGCACTGATTACTGTCAGACTTTCACAATCCTTCAGCACTTGAATTAAGATTATAATCATTTAATTTTAAAGCACAGCCACCACAAAATCAGACTGTAGCACCTCTTTTTACTGTACTTTGAGATCATTCTGAGGTTAAATACCGATTTAAAATCATAACAAGAAACCATTTAATAGCTATGATACTGTTTTTGAAATCAAATCCTTGCATAATTGTGACAGGAAACAGTTACATTTATTTTGTAATTAAATTCCGTAATTCCGTTACATGTAACGAGTTACTCCCCAACATTGTACATGCACTAAAATCAGTAAAGCACCAGAGGTGATGTTTGTGAAAAGATCCAGCAGATACACACGGATTCTTCATTTCTTCATTTCACAGACAGATACTCCATTTTCATCACCAGATCTGACCTTTTTATCAAATGTTTAAATG